TAGTATATTTAGAGTATAAGACATGTTAATTGAATATGTTAAGTAATATAAAAAAAAATGTATAGTTTGTACTTGTATATATATTTTGATAGTATATCTTGTATTATGGTTAATTGGTACTCTAATGCGCACCATATGCATCATAAGTACACTACACTTTACATCATTTCAAATAAGTAACTACCCTCCCTTCCTTAAAAAAAATGGCATTCTTTTGACTGTATTTTGTTATTATGTTGTCTGCTATGGCGAAAACTTTATTGGAGGTTTTATCTGTCTGCCACGACTACTATACTTTGGAGAAGCTGGTTCCGTTTCAACCTTGTGAACATATTCATCTTGTATAACAGTGATATTGTCTTTGATAACTTAATTTAATTCACGGTACTTCTTATCGCAAACTTGCCTTGTACTAGTGGACCTACTTTATTCGTCATGTTTCCGTTAATTTTTGAGAAACGCTTTTTTTATAATTTTATTTAAGTATCTGATTGAAAACAAATTCGAGTATTTTTTTATCGATAAATTATACTGTTCCATTACTCTACATTAGTTTACTTACATATTTGAGATACTAATAAAGATAATATTTATTTTACTGTAATATAAAATAGTTTCAGCAAAAATATATTAAGTTAGGGGTAAAATTGTTTATCAGGTCAAGATCTATCTGCCCTGAAATTTTCAGACCAATCAGGCAACACGTTGTTGGGTTGCTGCCCCTGAATTGGTAATTTTAAGAAAATTTTGCAGCTTTTGGTTATTATCTTGAATATTATTATAGATAGAGATAAACTGTAAACAGCAATAATGTACAGCAAAGTAAGATCTACAAATAAGTCAGCATGACCAAAATTGTCAATTGACCCCTTAAGGAGTTATTGCCCTTTATAGTCAATTTTTAGCTCACCTGGCCCAAAGGGCCGAGTGAACTTTTCTCATCACTTGGCGTCCGTCGTCGTCGTTAACTTTTACAAAAATCTTCTCCTCTGAAACTACTTGGCCAAATTAAACTAAAATTGGCCACAATCATCATTGGGGTATCTAGTTTAAAAAATGTGTCCGGTGACCTGGCCAACCAACCAAGATGGCCGCCATGGTTAAAAATAGAACATAGGGGTAAAATGTAGATTTTGGTTTATATCTCTGAAACCAAAGCATTTAGAGCAAATCTGACAAGGGTAAAATTGTTTATTAGGTCAAGATCTATCTGCACTGAAATTTTCAGATACATCGGACATTCTGTTGTTGGGTTGCTGCCCCTGAATTGATAATTTTAAGGATTTTGTTTTAATCTTTTACAAAAATCTTCTCCTCTGAAACTACTGAGAAAATTTTAATTAAACTTTGGCCACAATCATCATTGGGGTATCTTGTTTATAAAATGTGTCCGATGACCCCGCCTGCCAACTAAGATGGCAGACATGGCTAAAAATAGAACAGAGGGGTAAAATGCAGTTTTTGGCTTATATCTCTGAAATTAAAGCATTAAGAGCAAACCTGACTGGGGTAAAACTGTTCATCAGGTTTAGATCTACATGCTCATAAATTTTCAGACGAATCAGATAACCTATTGTTGGGTTGCTGCCCCTGAATTTGTATTTAAGGAAATTTTGCAGTTTTTGGTTATCATCTTGAATATTATTATAGATAGGGATAAACTGTAAGCAGCAATCATGTTCAGCAAAGTGAGATCTATATACAAGTCAACATGACCAAAATTGTCAACTGTCCCCTTAAGGAGTTATTGCTCTTTATAGTCAATTTTTAACAATTTTTCGTAAATTTTTGTAATCTTTTTACAAAAATCTTCTCCTCAAACTACTGAGACAAATTTAACCAAACTTGGCCACAATCATCATTGGGGTATCTAGTTTATAAAATGTGTCTGATGACCTTGCCTGCGTGGCCGACATGGCTAAAAATAGAACATAGGGGTATAATGCAGTTTTTGGCTTGTATATTTGAAACTTAAGCATTTAAAGCAATCTGACAGGGGTTAAAATGTTCATCAGGTTGAAACCATCTGCACTGAAATTTTCAGACAGATCTGACAACCCGACATTCATATTTTCCAGCGTTTATTACAAAAGGTTCATGAGATATTCTTCTGAATGCTTTAACACAAATTTTCGGTATTCTTGATTTGTTATTTATAAATATATGTCTGACGACAAAAAATTTTCATATCATTTATCTATGTTCTTAAAAATAACTTTCATGAATATTTATTGATAAAATCAATATATAACAAGTGATAAGGAATATTATTTTGTACTTGATAATATCTGCTTAATTATATGAAATCAGTTATCAGTCAAAAACACAAGTCACATGGGTAGAAATGTCTGTGGCAACAATACACCAGAATGCCCTCACGGTCATCCCCTGTAAAAAAACATTCTACCTGATGATAGCGTTTCTTTGTTTACATTTAAAATGATGTCACAACTATTATCTCTAATAATAGGTCAAACATTAGGTTTCTTTTTCAACAGATTCTGAAGTTAAAATGATTCTTGGATTCTAAAAATAATTTGTACAGACTTCATCCCCTGTCACATGTAATGCCTGCCTCATATTATTATTAAAAACTTTAATAGAATAACAGAAATTTTGAAAGCTAAATTATTCAACAACACTAGTTCTAAAAATTTATTAATATTGTCCAAAATATCAATAAACTATTTAAAATGGTTTTTTTTTCTCATAAAAAAAATATTGCTCTTCATTTTATGATTTATTAGAAGCTTAGGAAAATATTTTTGAATTTAATTGTGTCCCTTGTTTTCATTTCCTGGGATAAATCCAATACAAAGTATTGGTATTGAATAATATTTTAAGAAATATTTAAGTCATACCATTTACTTAACAAGAATGAAGTATATGTTTTCAGTGTCATGCATTTCAGTCATCATATTTGTTGGACTTTGTTGTTCGATAGTTTCTTTGTGGTAATAAAATGTAGCAAAAAGAAACTCTTCAATAAAAAGTTAGAATACTTCCTTTTTTGGTGAACTTTTATGAAGGTAATGCAAGTTTAAAACTATAATGCAATGGAGAGATATAAACTGCTTAGTATTATCAAATAGAAATTGGCAAGTGATATTATATAGTTGAATAGGATCAGTATAATTAAATGAAAAATCTGGTAAAATACTTGCATAGCTAGCATTCTAAATTTAGAACGTAAAAACTAAAATGATGATGAAACAGTCAATTATTATGCAAAGAAATTATACAGTTAAAGACAGCAAATAATATTAACCTGATGGAAACAGCTTGAACATTAAATTGCAGTAAATATTTATTTTACTGTGTTGTGCAGTTGAAAATATAGAAGCATATATCTAATTGCAAACAGTTGAAACACTGACTAGTTAAAAATTTTTACTCTCAATGTTTTGCATGTTCTCAACAAGGATGTTCTCGTGAAAACATTCATGTAAAAGAGAACGATGAAACTAAAAACAAGTTTTCTATGCAAATATTTAAATGTTTGATGAATATTCATTATTATTGCATTTAAATTCAATAAAAATATTTTAACCAATTGTGTTCTGTTTGTTGTGTACTTGTATACTTTATTTGTAGTTATACGAAATAAAAATTGAAACATTTTTGCTTTGCATCACCGTACGGAGCTTTTAGTTTCAGTCCACATACACGCCATATTGAAATAATTACTTATTACAAATAGATACTGATTGGTGGCTTTATGTTGCGGCGTAGTTTCAGCAACAGCTATTGGCTTAAATGAGATAAAGAATTACAGACTTTTCTCGTCTCAGGATAAGATATCAAATGTGGGGAAATTAACTATGTGAATTACAGTTGTGATCAATTGTCATTAATTCATGTTCGTTTTACTATGCATACTGAAATTGAATATTGAAATTATTAATGCATGTTTATTTTCTTTGTTAATCTGCAATATGCACCCTTTTATTTTGCAAAACAATTTTTTCTCCAGAGAAGCACACCTTCAGAATCCTGTTTATTAAGTCTCCCAAATCTCCCAAACGAAGTTTGGTAAGACTTATTGGTTTTGCTCAGTTATTATTATTATTATTATTCTTCTTCTTCCTCTTCCACTACTTTTAAATTTGAACTTGCCGCACCCGTTCTCCAAAACCGCTTGTCAGATTAACTTAGGGTTTCACAATATGTTAGACTAACATGTCTAGTGGTGCAATCAGTGTTTTGTTTGTGCAATGGGGTTTATAAAGGGGTACTTTGAGGGGCAAAAAGAAAGAAGGGTTTTACTATAGAACCCTATGGGATTTTATTTTAAAAATTTTTCAAATGATTATAAATTGAAAACCGTTTGTAATAGACACAATCTTTTTAATTGAAAATGTTCTAAATTAGTGTATTTTTCTATTAATGTTTACATTTTTAACACCAAAATGCTGCTGGATTATAAATGAATTTATGTAATTAAAGTTATTTCAATGAAAACAAACAAGCCATATTGACATTGACAGGACAAATTAAGTAATTTCAAATCTGAAGTAAAACTTTAAACATATCTAAACAGAAGAAGTGCTGTTCACTTCAGGAATGATTAAAAAATGAATTTCTGAAAAGACAAATCTTTAAAATACACTTTTTTACAAGAATTCGGATGGTTATGGACACTACACACTGACTACAATTTCCGACAATTTTCTATTAACATAAATTTTGTGATTAAAAGAATAGTCCCCGAATAGTCATTAATACTGAATTTCGTGAAAAGGAAGTTTTTTTAACATTTCACATACCTAAATTGTAGATGAAGTTAAAATAAGTAATTTTTTACCTTAATATACTTCAGTTCATTAAATAACATTATTTAATGCTTTTTCACACTTTGAAAAGAAAAAAAAACATTTGCTTACATCTTTCTACCTCATTCTTTGAACCAGCATATATATTTGTCTAATACTTGCAAACATAATATCATTTTACATTTACACTCCTATTACAAAAAAGTACAATCTATCAACACGAATAACAACTTATAGAAACATGGAACACACTTTGTCAATTTCCCCCCTACAGGATGGACAGTTTTGCCCCATATTTTCAACTTGCAATGCACAGACAAGACAAAATGTGTGACCACAAGGTGACAGGTAGGCATCCCTTTCCCGGTCCACACAGATCTGACAGCGTCTGTCATATGAGAATGTAACCTGAAAAAAAAAATACCAAAGCTAAAATATAACATCATTAATCAGCAAGCAAAATTTGTGTATACTTTACTTGATCTGAATAATATAATTTTATTATAATTGATAGATTTCCAAATGTAGTTAAGGCAGGAGAGTGTTGCATGTTCCATGGTATCTCACTCAAGATGTCATATATAGTTTTAATATTAAATGGATGTTGTTTGTCATTTGTTGTTATCAATAGAAACCAATATATCCAGGCAGCGGCCTTTCACAAAGGATTCAACTCAATTAAATCTGCATCAGTCGTACGAAAATATTAAAATTTATTTTGTAGAGCATGTATATATACTACATCTGTACATGTGCAATCTTAAAGTCATATGAAACGAGTTGTTGAAAAAAAAAGTTGAACATGTTTTTTTAAACTAAATAGTTAACCTTTATCCATATACTTCTTTTAGTGAAAACTCTTGTGTTTTATTGTAAAACTTTATGAAATGTACGGCTTCTGAATTATTTACTTCCAGCAAGTAATTAATCTGATATTCAACGAATGCTTTTCCGTATGCATGATATTCCTCTTAAACAATGTGAAAGCCGTTACTGCGCAAGTACAATATTAAAATTAAATTAAAAATAAACCAACATTCATTGGAAATTAAGACATATTTTTTGATCGATGATGAAAGAAATCTTTTTATACACAAATTTGTTTTAAAACAGTTTTATAAGGTTGATTAACAAACAAAAACACGCAGAAAATATTTTAAAAATGGATTAATCAACAAAGCTCAATTGTCACACTTATTAACCACCTGCTTTCAGTGCACACTTTTGTCGATTGTTTATCAATATAAACGTGTCAGAGAACATCGCAAGTTCGTCACTAAGTTTAATTAGGAAAGATGGTTTCCATATAAAATCAACAAACGCATTATTTTGTTTGTAAATTACACATTACACTCAATATAAAAAGTGAAAATATATTACAAAGGTCTTAGTTAAGTATATGTGCATGTATTGGATGAATAATTTAGGGAACATAATTTTTTCCATCAACTCTTTTCATATGACTTTAAGATATACATGTCAAATCTGTTGATATTTAGACAACTAAAAGTTCTAAATGAAATAAGTCTATCAATTTAATATGATTTTTTTTTATTAAAATCAATATTTCTCTTCAGAACTTGACAAACCTGAGGCTTGGACAAGAGTTGAGAAATATCATATAATGTATTTAATTGTGTAGTGTTTTTTATGTTGGTTATACTTCATTTACTATTATGTCGTCAGGGTATCATTGGATGATAATCAAGTCACCTCTTTTAAGCTTATAATTCTTGAGAATAATTCACAGCTATCAATTAATAACAAGAGTGGACACAGATGAGTGTGGATAGTGAATATTGCATAAAACTGCGAGCCAACTCACTAAGGATACCCCATCCCATTATGGCATTTTTACTACACTACGGTACATTCAAGCTTGATACATGCAGCTTTAAATTTGGATTGTGATTAAATAGTTAACACAACAGAAGTTTCTGACACAAAAGGAATGTGTAACTACTATTTATGACTTTAAATAAAAGAAAATTTAAAATTAATAATAATTAGAGTTATCTCTCTTTGCATATTTTAAGTCAGTGTGTAGAAACCAGAAAAATATAACTACATCTATTTAAAGCAAGTTAATTATCTTCCTTTAAATATTTCAGACCAAGAATATCTTCCTTTATGCACATTCTCTGGTCATGTACTGGAACTGTGTAACGTTTAATTAATATTACTCCAGTCATTTAGGAGGAGTTGTGCTTAATGCCAAATATTGGATATTTAAACTAAGTGATTTCAATTATCTCCCTTGAAAAAAATCTGACCAGAAATATCCTCCTTCATGCACGTTTACAGGTTGTGTACAACAACTGTGTAAAGTTTCATCAATATTGATTTATCTGTTTAGGAGAAGTTGCGCTTTCAAGACTTGTTGCCATTTATTGCTATATTTAATTCAGTAGATTCAATTATCTCCCTTGAAATAATTCCTACCAGAAATATTTTCCTTCATGCACATCCTTATATCATGTACTACAACTGTGTGAAGATTCATCAATATTAGTCCATTCATTAAGGAGTAGTTGCGCTTACAAGACATATACAGACAGACAGACGGACAGGGTGATTCCTATAAACCCCCCAAAACTTTTGTTTTTTGGGGAGTGTATAAAAATATATAAACATGTGCCAAAGTTTTTTAAAAAAGGTTAAAGAGTTAAATGATAAAATGCTTAGCTTGTTCCTATATAGAAAACTTACTGTAGGTGTATCAGCATGAAATACAATAGGTTTGTTTGTATCAGTAGCACCTATTGGTGTTCCACCAAAAGCTCCTATTGATGTTCCTAGTGTGGGTGTTCCTAGTGTGGGTGTTCCTAGTGTAGGTGTTCTACTAGAAACAATTGCCTGAGGAGTTGCAATGTTCGGTGTTCCTAGTGTTGATGATCTAAAAGAAACATTCATGGCTGGAGATGTCATAGGCTTTCCAACTCCTAGTATTATTTCAGGCTCTGGTGGGGACATGTTTCCGGGAAATCCTAAACTTTCCAATTCATCAGAATCGGAATCGGTTATGGCAAGCATGTCATGTATCTGTAAAAACAAATGCACAATGTTTACTTGATTTGATAAATTTTAAATAGGCTGATAATCAACTACAGTAACTTATTAATATGCCAATATTACCAATCCTTTGATTTACAAAATGCAGCATGATACATCAAAATGATCAGCCCAAAATGTCCAGGCAGGAATTGACACACACAAAATAGCTGATTAACTTTTTTTTATAATGAATAAGCTTTATTGAAATAACTAGATATCAGTGAAATGGGAGCCAATACAGTGGGCCCCGCTGTCCATAACAGACACAATCTTTACCATAGGACATGGGATTCCCAAATGTAAGTCTTTTTACCTTGACCTTTGACCTACAAAGTTGAACATACATTATGACACGCCCTCTGGTGTTGGTCAATATACATGTGAAGTATAAACTTTGAAATCATAACGGTTCACGAGATATGGAGCGAACATGATCTTTCCCATAGGACATCGGGTTCTATACTAACACTTAAGTTTTTGTCCTTGACCTTTGACCTACAAAGTTGAACATACATTATGATACACTCTCTGGTGTTGGTCAATATACATATTATGGCATATAGCGTTTGCATATTCGAGGTTAGGCCTTGCTAATGCTTTAAACGACGTAATAATGTAAATGACGAACAATATTGGTCCCAGTACACTGCCCTGAGGGATGCTGCTTGTCACCTGTTTGAATTCTGAGTAGCTGCTGTTTACCCGTACTTGTTGTTTTCTACCACTTAAGAATGCTGTTGCCCATGGTGAAGTATAAACTTTGAAATCATAACGGTTCTTGAGATATGGAGCAGACAGGATCTTTCCCACAGGACATGGGGTTCTATACTAAAACCTAAGTTTTTGACCTTAACCTTTGACCTACGAAGTTGAACATACATTATGACACACCCTCTGGTGTTGGTCAATATACATGTGAAGCTTAAACTTTGAAATCATAACGGTTTTCAAGATATGGAGCAGACAAGATTTTGTTACGAACAGACTGACGGACAGACGGACGGACAGACTGATCACTATAGGGCGACCCACCTTTGGCAGGGCCCTAATAAGCAACAACATGTATGTAAATAAAGGTATTCGGAATAGAATAACATAATTATTCATGTGGTACACATGAATGGAATTTGGGGGCGAAAAGAAAGTTAAATTAAGAAGAAATAATAAATAATGCAAGGATTAAGAATTATAAGGATTAAACACATTTTTTCCATAGGTTATTTATGTGTAAACTGGGTCGCTTACTCACAAACTTATCATAAAAGTCCTTCAGACTTTACTTCAGTTTGTGAGTTAACAGACCGAGTTTACACATCAATTACCTCTAGAAACAAGAGGCTCTCAAGAGCCTGAGTCGCTCACCTGTAATTTTTTGCTTAAATCTTTCATCAATGATTATTTTTGGTGTTTATCTTTATCTATAACAATATTCTAGACAATAACCTAAAACTGCAAAATTTCCTTTAAACATGTTAAATCATCAATAAGCTGCAAAAACTGCATTTGACCTTATGTTCTTCTTTTAGACATGGCAGCCATGTTTGTCGATGAACAAAACTTCAGATATAATTCATTAACTCAATAACCTGAGAAACATTTAGTGAAAGTTTCAAAGTATTTGGCCAAGTAGTTTCAGAGCGGCTGCAGAAGATTTTCAAATGTTAGCAAATATGATTGTGTTGATGACACAATTGTGTAAAATTGTCTTTAAAGGGCAATAACTCCTTAAGGGGTCAATTAACAATTTTGGTCATTTGACTTATCTGCAGATCTTACTTTGCTGAACATTTTTGCCATTTACACTTTCTCTCTATCTATCATAATATTCAAGATAATAATCTAAAACTGCAAAATTTCCTTAAAATTACCATTTTAGTGGCAGCAACCCAGCAATGGATTGTCCAATTATTTCTGAAAATTTCAGTGGTGATATATCTTGACCTAATGAACATTTTAACCCATGTCAAGATTTGTTCTAATTAAATGCTTTAGTTTCTAAGATATGGGCCAAAATCTGCATTTGCCCCTATGTTCTATTTATAGCTATGGCAGCCATGTTTGTAAATGGATCAAAACTTTGTATACAGTTAAAGTTTCAAAGTATTTGGCCAAGTAGTCTGCATCAGAGCAGAAGATTTTTAAATGTTAGCAAACATGATGACAAAATTGTGTAAAATTGTTTTTAAAGGGTAATAACTCTTTAAGGGGTCAATTGACAATTTTGGTCATTTGAACTTTTTTGTAGATCTTACTTTGTTTAACATTTTTGCTATTTACACTTTCTGTCTATCTATTATAATATTCATGATAATAACCTTAAACTGAAAATTTTCCTAAAAATTACCATTTTAGTGGCAGCAACCCAACAATGGATTGTCCAATTGGTCTGAGAATTTCAGGGGTGATAGATTTTGACCTATTGAACATTTTTACCAATGTGTCAGATTTGCTCTAAATGCTATAGTTTTTGAGATATAGGCCAAAATCTGCATTTGACCCCCATGTTCTATTTATAGCTATGGCGGCCATGTTTGTCAATGGATCAAAACTATGGATACAATTTATAAACTAGATACCATAAGGAACATTATGTTAAAGTTTGGAAGTATTTGGCCCAGTGGTTTCAGAGGAGAAGATCTTTGAAATAGTTTACGACGACGACGGACAACGGACGACGACGGACGCCAAGTGATGACATAAGCTCACATGGTCCAGCTGAGCTAAAAATGTGTTTAATCCTATATTACACCAAATCTTCTTTTTTATATTTGACCAAATGTTAAGTGTATTATCTATAGATTCCAAAGCTGGCTTGTAATTCAGCTTAACCATTCTATCAAGGTCAACTGAAAAAGTAATTCCAAGAAGTTGAAATGTACCCATTTCAATCCCCACTTAACACAAATTTGATTTTGACTGTTTTTTACTACCTATCCAAATAACATTTGATTTTTCTATATTAATTTTTAGTCCTGAGATTTCAGCATGAAATTGGAGATCACAAAGAGATGCATAGAGCGACTCAGAAGAGCTGTCTAAAATCAAAGAAGTATCGTCTGCATACTGAGACAATTTAAATTCTGTATCATCTATAGTAATGCCCTTTATCTCCTCATTGTTTCTCACCAATTTGCCTAATATTTCAGCACACAGTAAGAAAATATAAGGAGATAAAGGATCCCTTTGTCTTAAACAACCTCGCTCTACAAAACAAATGTCTGACAGACAACAGTTTTGAGTTACTGCAGCTGTTATATTATTATAAAAAGTTTTAACCCAGGATATAACGGAATCCCCAAAATTAAAATATTTTACTGTATCATAAAGAAAAGACAAAGAGATTTAACTTAATGTCATATCAATGTAATAATAATTATAATACCTTAGACATGTCAGTATGTATTGTAATTGGGGTACGCATTTTGTATCCGCAACTCCTCCTAAACCACTCAAATCATAATTTAATGAAACTGTCTGAGATTCTAAATCATATAATGCCATTGTGCACCTCCTATTTGGTTTTTGGTCAAATTGATCTTTGGGGTTTTCAATACAAAACATGATCTTTGCAAGGAGCTGAGTATATTTTTGTGAGCTCTGAACACAGTACCTCTAGTTTTAAAAGGAGTAGTTGCACTTACATTAGACATTTGGACAGAGGGATGGACAGGATACTTCCTATTATTATCCTCCTACACCAAATTTATTATAATGACTGAATTTAGAAGTCTCCACTTCATATTTAACTGTATTAAATTTACTAGAAATAATTCAGGCTTAAGTATACACCTAATATATATAGCTTAAGATGAGAGGCAGGGGTATAATTAAATGCTTGGCTTGGAGGGACTTGACACTTACTGTAACAAGTTGAATACTTAATGCTGGGAAATAGGTGCACTCAAAATTGATGTAAAGACACACTATACTGACACTATAATCTATCAAATACTGGTACAAAACAACAATAATATCATATTCAAATTTGCTGAAAGGATTCATATTGGACATGTTGTACTGGGACAGTACTATGTTACGTAGTAAGCTATAAGGATATTTTAGGTTTACTTATTGATAATACCATTCTAAATAGACATGATTAAATAATAATAATCAACATTTTTTTTATAAACAAAGCTAATAGATACACACCTTTTCCTTAGACAACAGGTAAATCCTTGCTTCTGAAGTTTTACGTTCGTTGTAGAATTGTAACGCTGAAAAATTTTCTCTGTTTATTGTTTCAGTGAAAGATCCCAAGCTCAGTGTCATTTTATGTAAAGACCCTTTCTTGCTTCTGCCACAGGGGTAATATTTATCTGTAAGCTTCTCTATTACCTCCTCATATGTTGCATTATATTTAACAAATATAATTTGGCTCCCACAATCAGTTAGTTTGAGTTTTTTTGAATTGGATTTTACTTCCTTATACACGTTGGAAGCAAATGAGTAATGCTTCCACCCACAATGAAATTTTAAGTTACTGCTTTGAGTGCTACTAGTGATGTTCACCTCCCTATCAAGTCTTGCAGGTTCCTGAAAGAACAGATTTAAAATATTGTTATGTACAATATGAATGACCCTTCTGCTATAAAAGGAGTATGGTCGCGAAGGCCTTAATTTAGCTCATAAAACAAAAATAACTTTGTAATTTCATATGTAACAACAATTATAATTCACAATCTGAAATATGCAAATCAAGATATTATTAACCTTTTTCTGTCTCAAGGTTGGTAATAGGCTCTGAACAGCCTCTGAAGCTCACCTAAATCTACTATGGTTGGAATTATGCATATCAAGCCAAAAAGTGCATTTTACACATGCAGGGCTACATTCTGTTTTTAGCCATGGTGGCCAATGTTTTTTAAGTAACAGTTAAATCACAAACTTTATACTAGATACCCTAGGGATCATGCAGCTGAAGATTGGTTGAGATTGGTTCTGTAGTTTCAGAGAAGATCTTTAAAATGGTTTACACCAAATGGAGGGACAAATGACGATTTTTTTGTATGGCTTTAGGGACAATGTGAGAGACCTTAATGAAAAAAGAACTATAAAACTGTACAATAATCTTACTTTCAAGACATTATTATCATGAATACAAGATGCAACAAATTGTGTGAACTTAAAAGAAAAAGAAAACTGGATATTCAACTCATCCAAGTCCTCATTTACCAGAGATAAAAAAAACAAATTAACAGAAATTTAATACTTACAAGTTTCCTTTTTTTAACTTTTTCACGTAATTTATCAATCATCGCAATCATCTTTTCCTCTGAAAAAAATTAACAAATAAAAGGCTTTCACAGACATCAAACAGATTTTTTTACAATTATTTTTATAATGCAAGTTTTTCTACATTTCAAGGATCATTAAACTCTTCAAACATGTCAAACAAATACAAAAGTGGAAAATTGTTAAAATTTAATTTGTCCTCAGTTTGTCACATTAGTTACAACAGATCAATATTTAAAAAGCTTTGGTTGAACTGTTTGTGAGTATGATTAAGAAATAATTCATGCAAGCCATAGATTTGTTGTATAATTTACACATGGCCTGGCAGGCCAGGCCATGTGTAAATAGGACAAAAATGTATCTTAAATACTGAAGCGACGAAAAAGTGGCTGTTATATTTGAAGTATCACCCCATTGTCAAATAAAAGTGTGTTATTCTGACTGTATTTGTATCAAAGAGATACATTTTCAGCAGGCAAAGAAGGCAAATCAGTTATTTAATAGCAACAGAAGCAATGATTATTATTAACTGTTTGTATTATTTTTTTAATGTAAAAATGAATGTTCTCAGAAACTTACCGTTGGCAACTAATCCTGTCTCAGTCAATTTTGTCCCTTACGTCGATGAAATTTCTAATTTCCAGTCAAATACTTAAGCAATGTCATTGTATATATATATATGTAATCTGGCAAGGGTTAGGTTTTTGGTAAGAATAAATCAGTCATTTAACCATTTCTTTTCGTAGCAATGACGTCTGCAATTTTGTTTTGAAAACAATGGAAATAGAACAATGATAAAATTTTAAAAATCCCAGAGAGGACATGATTTTTTCCGATAATTCATTACACATAGGATAAAATATATATCTATATGTCATTGAAATTGAAATTTTTAAAAGATATTGATATTTAATAGTGGATGAACTATAAATATTGGAACTTTTGATGATAAAAGAACCTTAACAAAATATGTTACATTAAGTTTGGATTTTTATGGGAGTAAAATGTAACAGCCGAAAATATGCATGTTACTGAGTCTGCGCTAAATATAGATATATTGAGAATTTTATCATGGCTATTTTCACAAAGGGTAATAGAGAGGTCATATTAGAATAATGATAAACTTATGGCATATAATTTGGACAGGACTTGAAATGCTATTTTTTTCATTAACCATAGCTGATCATAGCTTCTGAACATGAAGGGTGAAAATGAAAATCAACAATATATCTATAAAACTTGACCTTCATTTTGTCATTATATAATTAACAACATATCAGATTTAAAAAGCTTTGGTTGAATGGTTCAATGAGTTATTGTTGACACGACTGGAAATGCCATTTTTAAATCTTTCAAAATTTCCTGAACAGTGAAAATGAAAATCATGTATTTTCAACTTTACCTCTGCCACCATTTCATCAAAAGTAACAAAATGTTATAACCTGAAAACCTTTAGTTGAATGGTTCAAATCATACAGACACTAAATTGGTAACTATATAATCTACCTGAGTTGCCATACATCAACAAGTTAATAACATGTTCATCATTTATTATCTTTAAATCATATGGCTACTGTAGGTAGTTAATTTGGGAAAACAAAAAGTATTTTAATTCTGGCCTTTTAAATTGTTTTTTTAAAGAAGAACAAGTGTGGACACAGAACAGCATGGATAGTATCCAGCATTCTGAGAGTATTGCATGGCAATACACAGTCCCCTACCAGTTAAAATTTGTTGTCCGGAAAACAAAATTCAAACTTGATGTGTAAAATGTCATGTTAAAACTATAGATACCAAATTTCAAATCAATATGACAATAGTCAAGCATGACTAAAAAAAATGCAGAATTTTAATTGATTAATCGTGTTATTTTTCTAGGTCTAAGGATCATATAACTCTGCCAACTATCATCAGATCAGAAAAAAGAATTAAACTTGATCTTTAACTTGTAACGTTAAAACTATAAACCAAATATCAAATGGAAATCTTTAAGTATGACAAAAAAATAGTGGAAATGTATTTCTTGCATGAATTTTCTAAGTCCAAGGACCATAACTCTGCAAAAAATCATCAGACCGGAACACAATTTGCAACAGATCTTTAACTTGTCATGGTTTAACTACAAGCCAAATTTCAAGTCAATATCTTGAAGCATTAAAAAACAAAATATGGAAAACAGATTACTTATGTGAGTTTTCTAAGTCCAAGGGTCATAACTCTGCAAAAAATCATCTGACCGAAACAAAATTAGAACTTGATATGTAACTTGTCATGGTTATACTATATATCAAATATCAAACCAATATCTTCAAGCATAACAAAAAATAAAAAGTGTGGAAAGCTGATTACGGACAGACGGACAGAGTGCAAACCTAAAGTCCCCTTCAACTTCGTTGGTAGGGGACTAATAACCTTTTATTTGAGCATGTCTACTAGTTAATTGTACTAACCTTCTGATTTTAAAGTTACTCTTTCATGTCTATTGAATTTATTGTCTACAATAAAAAAATAATAAATGAATAGTCTAATTTCATTTATAAAGCACCTAACTGACACCAATGTTGTCCCTTCTTGCATATAAAGATTAAAGGGGCATTTTATGATGATAGAAAATAAAGGGATTCATGGGACAAAGTGGGACTTAAGTTGCACAAAATACATTAAAACAAGATTCATGTGACAAAAAGTCAGAAACTCAGGCTATTAGTAGTTATAACTAATAATGAAGAATGGCAAAATTTTATAACAATTGGTAAAGGTTCAATTGATAAATATCAAAACATGAAGTTCCTTACTTTTCCCCCTTATATTTTGGATGTGTAAGGCAATTGACAAATTTTTAAAGGTTCTCTGTATATATAACTGATCTAACTGGGAAATCATGCTGTTCAAGCATGGGTTCCTGCATGGTTAGCTGGAATGAGCCAGGGTACCAGATGGACTGCCTCTGTTTACATACAAAAGACAATGTTAAAAATGTATGAAGATGATAGGTTATTTTAGTTCCGGTTAGTCTCTTTTCACAAGCTACTATATCAATTAGCGATGACTTTTTTGACTGGTATATATTAATGCCTGATGAGAAATATTAAGAAGTTTAGACTAAAATTGTTTGCTTAGCAAGAAGTTTTTTTTATTAAAACACGAAAAACTGTTTTCAACATTGTTTTGTGTCATGCTGAAATAATAAATTTTAAATGATTAACCTTTATGCAAACCAGACTGAGCATCTTTATAGAGTACAAAGACCCCCCTTGGGCCTGAGTAAAAAATACAAATTATCAATACACAGGGCTTTAATTAGTCTTATATAGGAATCACTGAAGCATGACTGGACTGGGTCCCCTCTTATGGCAGTTTCTGGCTATATATGGGACCAATGTTTTTTTTAATATGAGCCAATGAGTACATGCATGCATGACGTAGTCTTACCTTGTGGTTCCCAGGTCTCCCCTGTTTTAAGTAGCATGAGGATGACATTTCCTTCTAAACTGTTGAAAAAATCATTATCTATTTCGACTCCATCTGCGTCCAGGACTAGACTGAATGTCGTTGAATCTCCTTCCATAAACTTTTCCTGGCCTAAATAAAAGGAAATTGAACAAAAATATTATTCTTTTCAAATCTGAATGAATAATCATATATTGCTTGCCAATAACCTGACCTAGTATCCACCATATATCGATCTTCCCTGATTCATTGAAATTCTGACTAACTGATGAACCATAGGAAATGGGGTGAAAGCGCTAACAGGAACAATGTTGGATTTAATGTGATTTTTATGTGTTATTTATTTTCAAACTATATTTTCTGTACCAAGGACTTTTTATTTATCAATATATCATACTATATATATGTTAGCGGCAATAAGTGAAATTAGGCATGATAGTTAAGCTTAAATCCTAGGCAATAAGTTAATGCCTAAGCACTAAAGATTTTTTTAAAGTTAATCTATATACAATTATAGCTGTTGTATGAGGTCGATACACTTAGGATATATTGACCTGAAAGAAGTATATTGACTGAAGACGAAGTCCAAGATCAAATAATCCTGTATTGACTGAATACAAGGCTTTACATTTTTTTGTAATTGTTATAAATTAATAACCAGCCATATTTGTATCAAAATCATCAGTGCACTATATTCCCTTTTTCGATTGTTTTTTTTTTTTCATTTTACAGATAGCATATTGTCTCTCATCATATTTGTTCTGATTTCAAATTTTTATGTTTTTCAGTACATTTTGTATACATTTTTAATTTTTTTTTTAAAGTTAATCGATCATATATTATAT